TATCCCTTTTTATTATTAAAAAAGAAGAATTTTTTTTTTTGTGTTTTTCGAAAATAAAAATTATTATTAAAAATCCAATCCATAATCGAAGGACATTTTTCTATTATTTATTTTTTAATATATAAAAATAACATTTATAATAAAATATTTTCTTGACGTCAATTTCGTTATCAATTTTTGCCTCATCCTTTTTGCAAAAAAAAAATATTTATTTATGTGGTTTTTTTTTTGGTATATAAAGGGCGGACTGCATCCAAGCTAGTGTTGTTTAACGGCTCGCATCCAAACTAGTGTGGCTAACTCAATACTTTATCCAGACAAATATTACCCAAGCCTGAAGATTTTGCTCATAGAAGGAACCAAGATCCAGACAAATATTATCGAAATCTTGAGGCTTAGGCAATATTTATCTGGCTAGTTTTAACGACACTAATCCAAACACAGAAAAAAAATGATTAACTTTTTGGCATTCTCGAAAGCCGGATTCTATTAAGGGGTTATAACTCTTCAAAAAAGGCAGGCGCATTTAAAATCGGGGATTAGAAATTGAAACCGGAATCTCCAATCACTTTCTTTTTAAAAATTTTTGGAAGCCGCAACCTAGAAACCCCATTTATAAACTTCCAGGAACGGGTTCTAAGAATAGCGCTAGTATCGAGGATTGAGTTATGTATATTTTTTTTTCTGATTGGTTTGCCCAGTCACTCTCAGACTCCAGTTTAAAAGCATCCCTTTTTTAAATGAGAGTTTATTCTTTGGGGTTTCTTTATTAGCCTTTTGTTGGTAGTGTTGTTAAACGGTTTCGTTTTGAGCCCGGTTTTTTAAAACGTCTCACTCAAGTCAGAAAAATATTGCCCTAATAGTGCGCACAAATTGAGCGTTTCAACCGCTGCGTTGCAAGCGCGACATTTTAAATAAGTTCTTTAAAAAAATGATTTTGTCTTTTGAAAATTATATTATCGTCTGCGTCCTTAGTTCTTTAATTTTCTAAATATTCCTTTTTCTATGATACAAAGTAAGTTATTTATATTACATTTTAATATAAATATTACACAGCGAATAATAATAAAGAGTAATGAAAAAGCAAACCTATTTGCGTTTTTTAAAATGGTTGCTAACGCCAAACTCTAATTTTACCGATTTGCACGAGGTCATTTGAAATGCATTATTGTTTGCCACGCAACATTTTAAATAAGTTCTTAAAAAAAGGATTTGTCTTTTGAAAAATTATATTATCGTCTGCGTTCTTATTTCTTTAATTTTCTAAATATTCCTTTTTTTAGGATACAAAGTAAGATATTTATATTACATTTCATATAAATATTACACAGCGAATAATAATAAAAAGTAATGAAAAAGCAAACCTATTTGCGTTTTTTAAAATGGTTGCTAACGCCAAACTCTAATTTTACCAATGCATGAGGTCATTTGAAATGCATTATTGGCGTTTGCCGCGCAGCATTTTAAATAAGTTTTTTTAAAAAAAGGATTTTGTCTTTTGAAAATTATATTATCGTCTGCGTTTTTATTTCTTTAATTTTCTAAATATTCCTTTTTAGGATTATAATTTATACTAGTAATTCTTAAGGTTTTTTTTTAAAAATATAAATTATAAATCACTCAGGTATTCTAAACATGCTGGGGATCAGATTTCCCAATTTGATTCTTTCATATGAAAAAAACGGAAATGATTTAAAGTTGAACAAATGACACATTGCCCGTCAACCTATATACTATAAAATTGGCGATTAATTCATTAAATGTGTTCGTACATAAGAATCGGCTATGGCGCTATTTCGTGGTTTGCGGGTAGCCGACTAATTGTCTTCGTTATACGAATGCGCATTAATGTCATTCGACGCGCAAACCAGAAAATGGCGGCGCTACAGCTTTCTCCTATGTATGGTCACTTTTAGTGTGCAATTAATGAATCAATCCACCAATCTAGTAGTACAAATTCATAATTGGCCACAATATTAATTTATCCCAAATAAAATTTCATTTTTGGAAAGAATGAGTTATGAGGAGACGATATGCAGTAGTGATCTGCATCGGGCCTAATTTATCAAGCCCGGCCCGAAATTTTTTAGAAAGTTTTTCCGGCCCGGCCCGAACTCGATTTTTTTTCATAAAAATACGCCCGACCCGATGCCCGTTTGGGCCGGGTACGAACCGGTCCTATTTTTGCGTATCTCTAATGCGCAGGTACACGGGAAACTTTGTAATATATTTATTTATTATATAAATAATAATATTGAATAATTTAAAATCATAATTTCTCATCCTATAATGACTATTAAAACTGCTGCGTAAATATCTGGTAGAAAATCTTCTGAAAAACTAATAGAAGATACCCACATTATTTCTTCTTAAAGGTTAATGTTACGATAGTTTTAAACTTATTAATTTTTAGTTTAATCTTATTTATCATAAGATAAGATACATTATTAGACAATTTAAAATTTCTTGAGTCTAGTATTCTGGAAGAAAATTCTAACGCTCACAAGAACTCCCCAGGCTCATAAGATCCTCAGTGTCTCTTACACGTTAGTTAGGTTATACTATATTGTGAATAACCACCTCTCTCCTAAATATTCTTTATATAACCGATTTTTTTTTTGTACCTATACTACCAAAAATACTTATTTAACCCCTAACTAATAGGATTGATAGAAACCACATTAAGACATCTATTTTGGCCAAACATTTCTGTTATCTGTATGGGCAATTCTAAAGATGTTGTTCTCGAATAACCTATAAGTTATTGTATACTCAAAGAAAAGTGAGATGTCAACGAGCTGTACTCTCTGAAGAAATAAAGTGAAAGAGCTAGCATAGCCGAGCGAATTGTTGGTTTAATTGTTATATTATCCATTAAGAAAAAATTGAAATATATATTGCTTTTTTTCTGCAGATTAGATCTTCATCCAAACTAAAAAGAAAAACAGATATTATTTTGATATGTTATGTTTATTTTTATAGACAGAATTGTATAAATTTTATAATAAAAATTAAATAATAGCAGCAATTTTTGTGCCAAACATTTGCCAATTAAGCCTAGTACAATTTTATTTTAGAAATAAAAAGGAAAAAAATTTAACATTAAGAATTTTTGGGGTAAAATTAATCGATTTTGATAAAATGTTTTTTTGGAAAAATTTATATATATTTGTGCATCCTCTTTTAAACATTTTTTTTAAATTTTTCTTTATTTCTCTCTTACATATATTTTTTTGAAATCATTCAAGGGTCATTAAAAGGCGTGGTATTATTTAATAGCTTTTTTTTTAAAAAAAATGTATATTGGTTTGCAAAAAAAAAAACCTCCATTTACCTGATGAACCCCACTTATGTCATTTAATGGTGACCCGATAGGTAGACCTGATTTTGTTGAAATCTTTGCGACAAAAGCGACAGATTACCTTTACGAGAATTTTGCTGTTTTTAAGGACTTAAATGATTATTTATTACTTATATGTCTGAAAATGCATTTCGTCATGTTTGGAATACCTAAGCCTATGAATTTCAGATAATTTTGTCACGAACTAATATAATTTTTATTATTAGTTTTTCCATTGATTTTTTCATATAAATCATAAATGACTCGAGAAGTTAAGGGTAAAATTATCTACAATTCATAAAGAGAAGAGAAGAGAAGAGAAGAGAAGAAGAGAAGAGAGAAGAGAAGAGAGAGAAGAGAAGAGAAGAGAGAGAAGAGAAGAGAAGAAGAGAAGAGAGAGAAGTTCCTTTCTTTTCCTTTATAGATATTCTAAGCGTGCTGGAATTCATTTCCGGTAAAATCAAAATTTAAAATTTTTTTAAAAAAAAATAACACATTGGCCGGAATATTTTTGTTGGTTTTCTTTAAAAAATATATATAATATTTTTTTAGCGGAGATAAACTGACTAATTATTCATATTTTATAACTTTTACTTAAGTTTGTCAACTGTCCTCCTTTTCACCGTTTCTAAGTGTTGCAAACTGTACTTATTTGATTCTTTAATGTATACTATATGTTAATCCTTCAACGATGAATATATAATAATATCACGATATTACGAAAATATAGTAGTAATTAATAATTCTTGATCGACAGCTCTCAACACTTCAACGTCATTCACACCACTAAGCGACCTCCATTTCCCTTTTCGACCCCATTTTTTATTTTTACTTTGGTATAAATTGCGTATACATTTTTCTAATGAATTTTGATTTCCTTTCTTGGATACTCTAGTTTTGTTTTGTTTTATATATATTCTTACCTGATTATACTGACGTGAACCTCTGAACCGAGACAAACTTATAACCATATCCTTCTTCTAAAATTTTCTAAGAACTGAAACTGTGAACCAAAACCCTTTTTAAGATTTTAAGTATTCTACTAATTTATATAATGTATATATATATATATATATCGTTCAAAATGTTGTGTGATTTATTTTAAAGGATCCGTTTATTTTGTATTTATTTTAAAATATTATACTTATTAACAGGGTTGGAAATTATAAACTTTCTTTCTTTCTTTCTTTCTTTTTTCTTTCTTTTTTTTCTTTCTTTCTTTCTTTCTTTCTTTCTTTCTTTCTTTCTTTCTTTCTTTCTTTCTTTCTTTCTTTCTTTCTTTCTTTCTTTCTTTCTTTCTTTCTTTCTTTCTTTCTTTCTTTCTTTCTTTCTTTCTTTCTTTCTTTCTTTCTTTCTTTCTTTCTTTCTTTCTTTCTTTTCTTTCTTTCTTTCTTTCTATCTTTCTTTCTATCTTTCTTTCTATCTTTCTTTCTTTCTTTCTTTCTAAAAACTAGATATTTCGGGAACAGGGTAGAATATAAGATCTAAAACTATAACCAGTACAAAGTAAGAACGACTTTTTAAAATTTTTAGGAACCAAAACCAGACCCCCACTGGTTTTTCTAAATTTAATTTTGATCAACTGTTCCTTTAAATCTACTTCTATCTATCCCCATGTAAATTATGCATAATATATATTTTTTTAAATATTCTATGAAAGGTGTCCTTAACCTTGAAAAATATTTCATCCATCGTTCTTCCAAATGCCAACCAATATCAAGCAATGAATGGCAGCCCGATAAAGGCAGGAACAATACCGCAAACACGTTAAATCAAAATCAAATAAATTTAGTCTTCCAATCAAGTTGTAACGGGGGAAGTCGTAGGCGAACTACCAATTATTCAAGCGATAATAATCGCTGGTGGGCTGACCATCACTTTTGGAAAAACGCTTATCGCACTTACTACGCCGTAAAGATGTTCCAATGCTACCAAAATGGTCATCGCGTACCCAATGAATTTAAGCCTAAAGACGCGTTAAAAACTTGCAAAAAAAACGCATTGCATGATAGATCGTTAACTTATTCCTTGCCGATCGTCAGAAGCGTTAAAAATTCCGGTAACCATTTGAACGGGTTAAACATCACCGCTTCCAAAATGTTCGGCGGGCGTTATGTAATAACTGGCCATTGCAAAGGACACGTCTCGTTGTGGGAGGCCTTCCCGCCAAAACTCAAAACGATGACACAAAGTTGTTTTAAGAAAAGAGTTTTTTACGGTTTCGGTAAAAATAAGAAAGATGCGCATTATTCCCCGACATGTAATTACGGGTATCTTCCAAACGACGATAAAAAATTATCCGCGAATCCTTTAAATATCCGCACGAGACACCGTCAAAAATATAGCCCCAAAGATCTCCCCATACCACAACCCCTCGTTAGGATCAATAGGCACACTAACGCTGTCACCGATATAGCTATAGTGAACAATTTATATGCCAAAAGGGTAGGGTTTTATGATCATTCCACCAGTCTTCCTACCCTATTTTCCAACGTGTCCTTAGGCGATCAATTTTTAACCGTTGGTTACGACAATGCCATGTCTCTTACCACGTTGTCTTCCTCGTCGAATCTGATCTCAACGCCTCAAAGTGATCCTCACTCTAAAGAACAAATAATCAATACGCTATTTATAGGAGCGGAGCCAAATGCGGAATGCTTAGAATCCAGCGATCCAACTAGCAATTATAATTTTTTCACCACTCCTTTTCGTGAAAAAATTATAAATTCTAGTGTAACTTTTAACGAACACATATTCAATGATAATAGATTGGTATCCCAAAAGGTTAATGGATTTTTTACCAATCACTCCCCTGAAACTCTCAGTATCTGGAAAAATATAATTGCTACAGACGGTCCAAATAACTCTATATACGTCTGGAAGCTAGTACGATACAGGAGCTTCGCCGGTAATATTCATTTTAATAACCGAACTCTGAATAAGGGAATTAATGATGATGATTTATCAAAAAACGATCTTCATAAACCTGACAACAACACGATACATGCCAGTCTGCTACACCGAAAAGGCAAAACGCGGTGTTCCCTTAACTTCAGGTCTCTTCGACTCGGTAGGATGTCTTTCAACAATGATCCCTACGATCACGAACTCTTTTCCCAAATCAATTTCTACGGATAGATTCTCCGGTCGCAAGCATTATATGACCCATATGAAATCTCCTAAACTCAAGTTCTTATTCGAACTAACCGGTCACCCCAAACGTATTCTTTATATTCGAATATGGAGACACCTGATAACTTCGTTTTCATTACAAGGCGACGCCAGACTGTGGTGCCTTGAGACAGGCAATTGTCTACAAATCGTTAATTTTGGCATGCCCTTCGACGAAGCCATTTTTTATTTCCACTTACCCCCTTACACCAGGCTGAAAAATTTTTCTGCTCGGGGAGATCTCTTTTTATACCTCAAGGAAGGCACGTTACTCATTTCGAACAAGGGAGTCATTTATACTAAGCGAGTCACTGGCTTGCCACATTCTTTTCAGCCAGTCGCGCTTTCCTTGGTAGCTAATGTTTTAGCCCTTGGAGTTCAGTCGAGTGCTGAATTCAGAGTTTATTTTCTGCATTTTGATTTAGGCATCACTTCTCATTACGATAATGTCAGTCAACTTGGCGTCAACGGGAATATTAATTATTCGAATTTTTCGGATATAATAGCCGTCCGACCTACTCTGTGCGTTTATCGTCACAAAATTGCATCCCCAGCTGATAACATTCAGTATCTGGACCTTTCAATCTCTCACGAGTCATTAAATTATTCCACCAAAGAACAAAATAGTTTCGGCAAGTGTACTCCAGCTGGATCCAAGAATATGCGACACATAACTGATTTTAATAACCCAGGGGGCCAATCCAACCATATCCTCTTAATCACGACTCGCAGGAAACTGCATATTGTCAAATTTGAAAACGATTATTTTTACCCCCGGTCAAAGCAGAACAAAACTGTAACGAAAAAAGTTCGGTCGGGATTAACCTTGAATCAACATACATCAAAAAATCGAAAGTGTATGGAAGGGTGCGATGCCAATGACAATTATCATGGAATCATTGATAATATTGATAACCGTAGTGGACAAGAGTGCGATATTAATGAAATGGAGTCCAATTTGGTTCTAGATTATTCTCGTAAATCGATTCGTAACAGTTTTAATTCTGGATTTTATACTCCCCTTCGTCCTGGATCTAGGTATAGAAGTTACAAAGATACAATAATCAATAAAATAATCAATTGTGGCAATAATACCTCCGTAAATTGAATACTCAATTCATGATTACAATTTTTTTTTTTTTAAAAATAGATCCATATAAATGAAGCAATAAGAAAACTTTAATACGAATTATAATTATTTTTAAAAAAAAAATTTTTTTACATATGTTTATATTTAATATATTATTTTTCAACCCGATATTATCTTTTTGATAGAAAAAATAAAAATTCATATTTTTACAAAAAATAAAAAAAGACAGTGTAACCTTACTCTATTCCAGAATTAGGACAAGTTAGAAGGTTTTTTTTAAATTTTTGTTATCGTTTAAACCATATCATGTAATAGGAACTAGTATTGTTAAACAGCTCGTTTTGAGCCGATTTTTTATAAACGGCTAAGGCTGCATTCAAAATGGAGATGGGTCCGTTCCGTCAAAAGTCAATCTCATTAAAAATGATATTAAAAAATTATTCAAAATTTGCCGGATCCATTTTTAAGACGGAAGGTATCGGAACGGACGCACTTTGAACATATACATCATTTTTAAGGAGATTGATCTTTGACGGAACGGATGTAGAAAAATGGATCTATCTCCACTTTGAATGCAGCCTAAATCAATATTTTAACGAGAAAACGATTGTCCAAGGCATCGAGATTTCGCTTATTAGATCTCTTAAACCTTTGTACCAATTCTATGGCGTGAAATCTTCAGGTTCGCCTAATATTTTTGTGGATAAAATATTGCGTTTTAGTCGAGGTTAAAACCCGGCTCAAATCGAGCCGTTTAGCACAACACTACTTGACTATTAAACATCGAATATAGTGAGTATTCGTTATTATGATTTTTTTTCGAGCGAGATCATCATAAGTACACGATTTTCAAAATAAAATAAAATATATAAATACGATTTATTTGGCAGCTTCACTTGCCGGGTCGGCAAATTTGAACCGGAAAACGCAAAAAAATACATCTAAACGGTTTTGGATAAGAAATTTAATTCTGAGTTCAATTGATATAATTATATTCAAAATTACGTTTAAGATGCTAACCTTTCCCCTAGTAAATGCTTTCGCAAATTAAAAAAAATCCTTAAAAAAATTTATATTTCTCATTTACCTCTTTATCAAGTAATTACAATATATTTGTACTTACTTAATAATATAAAATCATAACCAAATATTAATTTAATTAAAAATATTATTTAAAGTCTTGGTATTCTCATCAACTGAGAATCAGTACGCATTTTATCCAAATATTTTGAGGGTAGCATTTCTTGCGTAGGAGAACACACTTAATAAGGTAAAATAAATCGATTATTCAAAATTATTATTTTAACCATTTTTATTGGTAATGTCGGAAGAATTGATTTATCAAAAAATAAAAAATGTATCACGCAAAAAAATTAAAAGTCGACATAGAACACTATAATACTCAGCTGACTATATACTTCGAGGTATTGGTATCTTATAATAGAGTAAAGTAAAGCATAGCTTTTTTTTAAAAAGTCACCTACCGTTTTTTTCCCCCAAACACATAAATTAATTTATTCAAAAATATAGTTTTGAGTGTGATAATTTGATTATTGATCCCTATAATATAAATTCTAATTCCTTTATTAAATTATTAATTATAAATTAACATAAAAGGATAAAGTAACAAAAAAAAAGAAAAAAATTAAGAAAATTATATGCGAAAAATAAAAATGAATAACTCTTATTGTTAAATCTTAAAAGTATGAAAAATCTTCAATTATCAAGCGTTTTCATCTCATTTGCATAGTCTATAATAAGTAAAAAATAAAGTAATAATTTTAAAACATTATTTTTGTTTAACTGCATATTACAACAATAGTGAATAAAATTTTTAAAAAAAATAAATAACGTAACTTGTAAATTGTTATAAATCCGAACTTACCTCAGGGTGTTTACTCAGTAGTGGGAGAGCAATTAAGAATTCAAAGTTTGTTAAATCTTTCCTTGAGTACCTTTTCTTTATTAACTCTTTCCTTTTTTATTAATTTTATTTTCAAAATATCATCAATGAATAATAATAAAATAATTTTCGAAGAATCCAAATTATCCAAAACTGAACTTCGAAGAATTAAAAATATATATATATATATAAAAAATTAAACAATTTTCGAAGAATCAACTATATAAAAATTAAAATCTCATTATTCAAAGTAAATCTTAAATCTAGTACAAATATTACCAATTTTCGAAGAATAAACATATAAATATTAAACTATTATTATTCAAATATAAAAATCTTAAATTTCGTACAATGTTAAATATACATAATAACAAAATTATAAAAATGTTAAATTTCGTACCATCTTAAATTTACATAATACTACATCTCCCCCCTTTAATTCTCCCTTAACTCCATCGAGTTTGCCGCGGTTACCATGTTCCTCCCTGGTGCATTCGCATTACTATTCGTTGTCAACTCTATACTTGGGCAAAACCTAAGTTTGTGCCCGCACGCCCAGCATTCCACTCTCCTTCTTGTGGTATACGGCGCTATTCTGCGACCCCCTCTCGTTGGCGTTTCTTGTATCCAATCTCCGTATCTTTGTTTCGCTTCGTTCCTAGCGGCTTCTACCCATCTGTTGGATTCTTCTGAACCATCAACCTCTCTTATCTCTATCTTCATTACCTTGTTACCCACTCTAACATAGGAGGCCATCTAAATAAAATACTTTATACACATATATATATATATATTCTTCGACTCTTATTTCTCTATACTAGGTTAGATTTTCTTCTCTAACTCTTTATAAAATATAACTCTCCTAATTAAGTCTAACATCCCTTTTATTTCCTACAACGTATGATTCTCCTACTATGTCTATCATCACGTTATTCCTTTCCAAATTATGATTCTCCTACTATGTCTATCATCACGTTATTCCTTTCCAAATTATGATTCTCCTACTATGTTTATCATCAATTTATTCCTTTCTAAATTATGATTCTCCTACTATGTCTATCATCAATTTATTCTTTTCTTCGTATAATTCTCATTTCTCTCTAAGGCCTTAAGCTTCTACACCTTACTTGCTTCAGGTGCCTTGTAAAGGTTCCTTCTTGTCCTTCAATCTTTACTTCTACTTTTTTCTTTCCTATATTTTTGCTTATTACACCCTTCCCCCATTTAATAGGCCCATCAAACAACAATACCCACACTAAACTTCCTACTGGAAATCTTTCACTCTCTGCTTGTTCTCTCCTTCTCACTTTTTCCTTTAAAAAATCTAATTCTGATCTCGTCTTTCTTCCTAAAAATATTTCAGCTGGTGACTTTCCTTTTGCTATTTCCGTACTGTTGTATGCTAACAATGATAACCACCATTGACCTTCTCCATATTTTGCCTTTTTCAACCAACTCTTTACTAAAGCTACCATTCGTTCAGCTTGTCCATTGCTTCTTGGGTAATAAGGTGGTGATAATAAATGTCTAATATTCCACCTATCACAAAATTTATCAAATGCTCTACCTTTAAACGCTGGACCTCCATCTGATACTATCGTCTTCATCAACCCATATTTGCCTACAAAATCCTTTATCTTGTCTAAAGCTACTCTTGTTGATAAACCTGAAACTTGCTGACAATCTATCCATTTTGAACCTGCATCTACCATGATAAAAAATCTTTTCTTCTCATATTCTAAAAAATCTACATGTATTCTTTCGCATGGAATGTCTGTCTTTGGCCATTTATCTTCCTTATTCTTTGCTGGAACATTAGCCCACATGTTACAGGTTTCACAGCTCCTTGCTAACTCTTCTATTTCCTTATTCATCTTAGGCCACCACATATATTCTCTTGCTTTATTTTTCATTCTTTCTATGCCTTGATGACCTGAATGTATTACATTTAAGGTTTCCTTTCTTAATTCATTCGGTATCACTAATCT